TATTCCAAGGGAATCAGCCTGAAGCTGAACACACAGAGAACAGGTGAGGGCCCTATTGTTCCCCACCTCCCTTGTTACATGTGCAACAGTCTACCTTCAAGTTCTCCTTGTATTTCCTCATTTTTGCTGACGGTTTACATCCCCTTTTTCTTATGTATCTTTTTTAATAATTGAACATTTTATTTGTAGCATGACAGGAGCAATACATCGCACCCCCTTTATAATTATTTGTATGATTTTACTTGTCACAGACAGTTGGTCTAGAGAATTTCTGGGACCAAGGAGTTATCTGGGTGTCTCACCCCTCACTTTGAAGTCCTCTGTATCCAGCCCTGCGCACGGTACTGTGGAACCATGACACAGCTCCTGCCCCTGAGGAGTCTTCACGGACTTGGGGAGACAAACGCAGGGCGTGCATGAAGAGTGCGGTATGAATGTGGAAAAGAGGGTATAGACCAGGGGTGGGCAAACTTTTTGACTCGAGGGCCACAATGGGTTCTTAAACTGGACCGGAGGGCCGGAACAAAAGCATGGATGGAGTGTTTGTGTGAACTAATATAAATTCAAAGTAAACATCATTACATAAAAGGGTACGGTCTTTTTTTTTTTTTTTAGTTTTATTCATTTCAAACGGGCTGGATCTGGCCCGCGAGCTGTAGTTTGCCCACGGCTGGTACAGACCCTGCCTCTGGCTGGACTGTGTCTCCCAAGCCTTCGCACACTCTCGGGCTCAGGCCTGGCACCGCTCTCAGTTAGTTCTGTCCTTCTGTCCCCTCACAGGTGAATCTGGGGATTCTCTCAGATAAAACCTCACTGTGAAACGAAACCTGATCGTGTTCCTCATCTCCGTCTCACCTTTCCCCTTGGAATTCCTTCCAGCAGCTTAAACCAACATATCCCCCGTCAAAATGCTCTCAGCTTCCCATAATCAAAGCTGTCCTTCCAAGCATGTGTTACTGCTAACCGGCTTTGTATCTCACCAGACATGTGCACGTGGACAGGCCACGTGTCATCTCTGAGACTCGGTTTCTGACATGGAAATTTGTGCTACTAACATCCTTCCCCACCTCTCTCTCCTTTCATCCACATGCTAAGGAACCAATGGAAAAAAATAAAATGATGAAATCACATGCCAGTAGCAAATATCACTAATATTGTGATAGTAGTTTGAGTTCACAATCTCTTTTGTTCCTATAGCATTTTTTTGTTAATGAACTTAACTAATAATATTTTATTAAATTTATAATTTTTGGAATTAAATGTCACATTACAGTCATAAACAAAGCCTGTACTATGGCCACCACTAAAAGCATTTTGAATAACGAGCTGCTAACTGGTCCCCCATCTCCAGCATCCCTGTCACATTGTAGCTTTATGTACTTTGCTCTGCTACCAAGGTGGGCCCAGACAGCTTATCCTGGATTCGTGGGTTCTGCGTTACCCTCCAAGTGTCAGACTGAGCCTCAGCTGTGCCTAGATCTTGGGTTCAGATACATTTCAGCAACTACCCGGAAGTGCTCCAGCCAATCACAATCGTATTTATTTGTAGGACGCTGAGGAGTGTTTTGTATGAGAACTTACCATGACGAGAGGAATGGGCGAGCAAGTTCCACTCTGCCACAAAGTCTGAGCCGTAAAAGAGGAGAAGTGACTCTGAAAACAGTGTCATTACCATCACTCAACACCTGCCCCAGCCCCGTGGCTCAGATCCACCTCTGCTCTGTAGGAGAGAGACCGATGGTTGTCCAGCCAAAGCCAGAAAGAGCTGGTTCAGTGAAAATGCACTGGCGCAGTGGGGCTCAGGCACGAGGGATCCCAAAACAAAGGGGCCTTGGTCCTGCTGTGGAAATCCTCTCACAGGATATAACACAACATGGGCAGGTCCATCCTGCCCTCCTCCACCCTGTTTGTGCATAAAGAGTGATGTCTCCATAAAGATCTGTCTAATTTGCTAGTCTTATAAAATCTCATTAAACAGTCCATTTTTATCTTTATTCTTTAAAAGGGACTTAGACAAGGAATACAGAAATTACTGTCCAGGGGGTGAATTTCGCTGGAGACGATTGGACTAGAATGTGGAACGTGGACAGATGGCCGTGGGCCTCGCTGAGGCAGCACCGGTACCTGACACTTAGGGCAACAGGGGTGTGGGACCTTAGAAATGGACCATGATGCAGAAGCTGTTAAAAGTAGCAAATATTTGCTCATCCTAAAAAGGAGCCTGCATGGTAGATGTTATCACCATTTTATGGAGGAAAAAAATAAAACCAAGGTTGAGATCACATGGACAGTATCAGACCACCGTTGGAGAGTGAACTAGAGTGTGAACTTTGGGATAATTGCACCTAAACGGCTGTGCCAGCCTCGTTGCACTCGTGCGGTGCCAGTAAGTCCATGTTCTCCTTGATTCCCAGAAGGAACTTCAGATAGTGCCTCCATTTATCACCGAGGAAACAGGTGCGGAGAAGTTGTTACTCGACTTATCTGACTTCTCCAGGAAGCTGGAGAACACACGGTGGGCTCAAAGTACCATTTTCCTCCATGCTGGTTCCATTCATGTCAATCACACAGCCCATCAAACCAAGGTGGCCAGTGATTTAGTAGATCTACCCACTAACTTATAGAATCTGAGTTTACTCCTCAAGCGTCCAGCCTAGAAATTGCTGAACTTGGACTAGATCCTCAGGTTGCCCTTGAGACAAATCACTCTCACACTGTCAGCCTATTCAGCTGGCCAGAGCTTCAGCCTTTGTTTCAAGGTTTGCACCTGAGTTCATAGGGGCCGATGGTCCAGTTTTTAAATCTACCCTTTACGACTGATAGTACCTTTCCCCAAGACTGCTGGTATGTCTTTGTATTGTCTCAGATCCCCCAAGTTCTACACAAACTGCTGAGGCCTGAAACCATTGCAGCTCCCAGACCTTGACATTTATCCTCAGCTCATGCCTTTACATGAAGAAAGCTGCCTGCAATGCACTTCTGTTTGCTCCCACCCCCTGCACTTACCCTTCAGATTTCGGAAGGCTGTCCTCTTGATGAGTGTTCTCTGAGCTCTTCAGGTGTGCCGATTAGCATAGCTTCCCACTCCAGAGGGATTTTCTGAAATACGCTGCAGTCAAGCTCTCGTGTTACCTACAGCTGGAGTAATTGTGGGGAAAGGCTCCACCTGAAAAAAATCTTGAAATACGTTGTTAAATTTTGCAAAGCAAAATCACCATTCTGGACCTATGCTCACACACATGTGCACCTAAATTCACATGTGTGGGTGCATCACCGAGAAACCCAATGAGACATGTTCAAGGCCAATGGTGCAGTCGCAGACAATTTGAGCAATTCCTATTTGCACTCCAAAATGAATCAGACCAATATTCTGTGCAGTAAATATCTTTTTATAAAATGACATTTAAACTCTGCATGAAAATTCCAGAGAGCAAATAAGATGTTCTGAAATTAATGAATCCATCAACTCAGGTGAAGTCTTCCAAAAACCTATCATGTCACAGAGCAATTAACGGGATCTTTTCAGAATTTAATGCGTTGCTGCTGAATGCCAGAAATATTGGACAGTACTGGCAATTTAGGCACTTGTCTAATTCAAAGGGGAGTTGGCGCTCACAGCATTTATCATAGGTGCGGGAGCAGTATCAGTGCTTGTCTAGAGACAAGGAATTGTTAGTATTGTACTTGTACAAGTAAAGAGAATCTGCTAACTCCACTGAACACATCCCTTTTCTTAGTATCCAGTAGGTTAGTGTAGCTTAGCAAATAACGACATGTGGCCGCTGCTCACAGAATTCCCTAGTGTTTTCAGTCCTCTCCATGTCTATCTATCAGAAATCTGATTTTCTGGGCTCAGGTCTTCTAAATGTCAGGTCCATCCCAATGGTAAATGAAATACTTTAGAAAAAATATTTCCTCTCCCATGGTGCAGACGTTAATGGTCTTTCAGCAAAGGCCAAGACTCTATTTTTAATAGAAAAAAAAATCTATTTCCTCCAGAAATGAGTACCCGTGACTAAGACCATAGCTCTGGTGTTGGGTTTTAGTCCTCTTTCTGTTACTTTTGAGGAAGCACGACCAAGTTATCCAACTTCTCCAAGGTTTCATTTTCTTGTGTGAAAAGCAAGGTAAGCTTAGCTGTCTCACAGTGATGATGTGGATGTTCAAAACAATAATTTACATAAAGCTCTTAGCACAGAGCCCGGCACAAAATTCGTGCTGAGCAAGTGGTATCTACAATCAGATGAGCTTCTGCACAAATTAGTCTGGCAGTTCCCTGATAACTGAATTCATGAGTAAAGTTTTTTCCCAAATTAGAAACATCTGAACACCCTTTAAAAATAAATAGCATTTCATTTCATTTCATTTAAAGCTATACAGAGAATACAAATGGCTGGACATCACTGCTGGCTTGACGTCCTCAAAGCAAAATTGATAAAGGCCAGATCAACTAATAGGTAAGCTACACAAATTATTCCATGGGTCACTTCTCTATAATTTACATCTGCAGACCGTTTTTATGTATTTATGTCATTCCACTGTTAATTATTGAGCACTGTTATGACACAACTAGACACTGAAGAAAATATTCTTATTAGCTGTCATGTATTATGTGATTATATGCTGGCATCATACTTAAGGATATTCATTCATTATTTTATTTAATTTCCACCCAAACATCCTGAGATGAGTCCATCTGATTTGAGAGCCCAATCCTTAATCACTGTGCCTCACTGAGTGTCCTTTCCACTAACTCACCGTCTGGGCCGGCATGGGGACAACTACGCATGGGTACCTGGAGGCCCAGGGAACATCTTGAGTAGGAAAGTGAGCACCGTAACTTTAAAGCGTTCATACTCTCTCAGATCACTTCCAGCCTAAGAATCCTATTGGGAATCCCAACCCCAGGTTTTCTCTACTCCACACACCCGGGCTCCCTATTCTGGTTGAGTCACCTAATCCCAAGTAGCCCTGAGGGCTGGAGCCAGCATTCTCACCATTCCTGAGAGTGTGTCCTCTTGAATTTGTTTTTGGAATGTTCTGCTCCTTGACTCTCCTCAGTTGTCTTGGGTCAATCTCAGCTTTGAGACATGCCATTCCTTTTCTGCCTCGAACTGTGTTTGGTGTATCTGGTTATTTTACCTAGAATTCCATTTCTACCTAATCCTGCAGGTTGGTGTCTGCATTTTGATTCTGTCCTAACCCTTGGCCATCTCTTCAATTAAAATAGAATTCATGTCTCCATTCTCCCCTAAGCAGCAAAAGTTAATCTATGAAACACAAAGAGAAAAGGAAGTATAAGAAAAGGGAAGCCTTGGCTATTATACATTATGTATTTAATAGTATTTCCTATACAATTCCTTTCCTCTCTCTTCTTCCCACTTCAGACCATTAAATGTGAGGTTGCACTAACTCAGTGGTCGGCAAACTGCGGCTCTCGAGCCACATGTGGCTCTTTGGCCCCTTGAGTGTGGCTCTTCCTAAGCCTTAGGAGTACCCTAATTAAGCTAATAACAATGTACCTACCTATATAGTATAAGTTTAAAAAATTTGGCTCTCAAAAGAAATTTCAATCTTTGTACTGTTGATATTTGGCTCTGTTGACTAATAAGTTTGCCGACCACTGCCTAACCGGTTTGGCTCAGTGGATAGAGTGTTGGCCTGTGGACTCAAGGGTCCAGGTTTGATTCTGGTCACGGGCACGTACCTTGGTTGTGGGCGCATACCCAGTAGGGAGTGTGCAGGAGGCAGCTGATCCATGTTTCTCTCTCATGTTTCTCTCTCATCAATGTTTCTAACTCTCTATCCCTCTCCCTTCCACTCTGTAAAAAATCAATAAAATATATTTTTTTTAAATGTGAGGTTAAGGAGCAAAATTTTCTTTTACTCTCAGTTCTTAACTCCAGCTAACCCTCAAGATCTGATATCTGAAGAATTTCAGATTATCTGATGTTTTCTTTCTGCTCCTAATCCTTTTTTCTTTCTCTTTTTTCTTTTCTTTTAATAACCTTATCTCTAGATATTTTCCTTCAGAACATTCTCTTTCATAGAACCTATTTCTGCATCAACCTGTGGACCCTACTCTGTTCTTCGATTTAGCTAAAATTTTAGTGTATTGATGTGTACAGTCTGTCTCTCTACTAGGCTAAAATTAACCCACAGAACAAGGAGTAGTTAGAAACAGCACTTACCAAGCTTTACTAATTTTTGAAAGATTTTCTGAAAGAATATGTGCTTTTAGAAATTGAATTCTTCCCTGATAATTTTTCATACACATGCCAGTAGCCATAGGAAGTACTTTAAGCAACATGCTCTTCTCAAGCACTATAGGAACCAAGATCACAGAATTTAACAAATTACTACACTTGAAATAAAGAAATTTCATTGAAAATACTATGTGCTGATTCTTTAAGTATAATCTTCTTATGCACATATGCAAGGAGCTCCTAGTCTATGTGTTCTCATTTTGGAAATCAGCTGTTTCTAATAGCCACATAGTAACCGACTAAATAATATAGTTAAAAATTCTCCGTAATGGCTCTGTCTCCAGACAGGTTTCCTGACTGTGCACTTTTCCCAAAGCTTGCTCACAAATGACCACTCTGGTGCAATAGGAGAAAAATGATGGCCTCAGAGATGATCTGAGACTTTAATATGGGAGCAATAACTCTTTTCCAAAGGTCTCTTGATCCACCTTCACGATATTCCAGCATTCCAGCCAACAATAGGGAGATTATAGAAGGGACCTCAGAGACCTCTCTGTCCAAAATCCTCATTGGAAATTTGAGAAACACAGATGCAAGGAGGGGAAGATAAAGTCAGTTACTCAAAATAACACGTTAAATGGAGGAAATAAATTAAAATCCAAGTCTCCTAAGGCATTATGCAATGAAAGGCAACTGCTGTAATTAGCTAAACCGTTGTGAATAAATAAACATGATGGTGCGCTTCATTCTCTTCATGAATACAAACTCAGGCTTGACCAATGGAGGTTGGTGGAAACAGCATTTTGGCATTTCTCAACCTATTTTAAGAAGCATGGAAGCTTCTGCTTTGACCTCTGGGAACCCTGACCAACAAAGAAAGAAATCTTAGTATTCTAACACCTCTGTGTGATGAGAAGTCCAAGCCACATGGAAAGGTGCTGTGCTGACTGACCCTCTATTTCAGGGGTCCTCAAACTTTTTAAACAGGGGGGCAGTTCACTGTCCCTCAGACCATTGGAGGGCCAGACTATAGTTTTAAAAAAAAAACTATGAACAAATTCCTATGCACACTGCACATATCTTATTTTGAAGTAAAAAAACAAAACGGGAACAAATACAATATTTGTATTTGCATGTGGCCCACAGGCCGTAGTTTGAGGACCCCTGCTATTTCCTCTATTTAACAGCCCAACTGAGCCCTCAGCCAATAGTTAGCTTCAACTTCCACCCCTGAGGTGCAGTTCATTTGATCCTTCATATGACTAAAGCTCCAGCCACTACCTGCATGAGAAATCCCACAGAAAAACCACGTAAGTAAACCCAGTCAACTCACAGAACCAGGAGAAATAATAATAAATCGTTATTTTAAGCCACTGTCTTTAAAAGAGCTAATTGTGCAGCAATAGGTAATCAGACGACCAGCTAATAAAGAAACCACTGAAACATTTTAAACAGGAGAGTGGTAATAATTCAGCTCATAACTGAACATTTTGCATAGGTAGGGCCCTGGGAATCAGACTACTTAGAAAGTAGGAGATAAACACTTTGTCCCCTGCTCTCATACACAATCTAGTTTATTTGAGGTTTGAGGGCTACTGGATGGAACTGCTTGACGTTCCTCCTTCCATGTACATATATTTATCACATAGATTCTGAAGATATCAGAGAGGAAGGGAATGAGGGAGAGCGAGAGAGAGCGAGAAGAATCAAAACACTTACACAGAATTTCTGACCCATGACTGACAAAGTACCAGGTTCCAACTCACGCAGCAAGCTATGAAGATAACACCAACGGTCCCTGCTTCCTGGTGCTCAGACTCTTATGCTTGTGTAATTCCATGCCATGCCAGATAGGGCGGACCCATGTAACCAATATGATGTTGCAGAAATGGCCATGCAACGGGTGAGGTTAGGTTTTAAATGACATTGCAGCTTTTGCCTTGCTCTCTCTTGGATTGCTCATGCTGGTCAAATTTGCTCTCCCCATGTCTGTTTTACTCTATAGTAAAAAGCCTTATGTATGGTCAAACAAAATTCTTTACCACATTGTTTATCCTCAGAAATATGTTGCCTATTCTTGGTCCTCTGTTTTTCCCTCTGAATGTTTAAATTAGTTCATGAAATTATCAACAAAACCTTGTTTGTGTTCTAATTGCACGTCCATTGATCAACATCGTGGAAAGGAACAACCTTAGACTACTGACTCTTTCTCTTCACAAACATAATAGATTTCTCCATATATTTAGGTCTCTTTATAGTTTAACATGTTCTTGTGAGAGTTTGACTATTTTTTATTAGCTATATTCTTAAGTACTTTATATTTTTCTTCCTTGGTAAAACTGGTATCTCTTAGAAATACTTTTTCTAAATCTGTTACTAGAATATAAAATTCAATTGGAATTGATAAGTTGATACCATATTCTTCTTGCTTGCTAACTTCTTCCATTTATTCTAACAATTAATTTTGTATATTCTTTGAGTTTTACATGGTGAAAACATACCATTTGCACATAGTCATAATTTCACTTACTCTCCTACCATGTCTAAATTTTCTGGTATTTTTTTCTAAGTGTACTTTCTACAAAATAGTACACATATAGTTGAATAGAAGATATCTCCAATGTTGGGATACTTTTACATTTCTGATTTTTAAGGAAATGTTTTTAATATTTTCCTTTTGAGTCTCTGTAGGCTTCTTTATTATGTTAAGGAATTCCTCTTTTCTTCTTCTTTGGTAATTTTTTTTATCATTCACTAATAGGTGTAGAAATTCACCAAATAATTTTTTTCCCTTTTACGATGATAGTGTACTGTTTTCCTTTAATTTCTTAATGATTATACTAATAGTTTTTCATAACCCTTACATTTCTGAGGTCAACTCCTTTTTCTTTTCATTTATTATATACTTTGGTGAATTTTATTTGCTTAGTATTTTTGTTCAGAAATTTCATACCTATGTTCTTGAGTCAGACTGGCTTTAAGATTTCTTTCTCAATTGTTGCTTCTCTGTTTTCCTTTTTCCCAAATTCTTTCCCCAATATTTTATAACAAGCATTCAGACAAGCCCGAAGGTTACAGAAATGAACCTCTCTGTGTATCCATCACCAAACAACAGCAACCATCTTCTAATGGCCTCTCATTTCATCCACTTTTTTTTTTACCCTCAAACACATTGGATTATTTTGAAGTAAATCCTGCACAGTATAATTTATCTTTAAGTACTTTATTATGTGGTTCTAAATTAAACTTTAAATAATATAATTACAATACCATAATCACACCTAAAAGGAGTAGAAACCCTCAACATTTTCCAACGGTCCCTTGTAGTCAGTGTCTCACTGTGCGGTTGTGATTAGCTGGTTATTAATCACAGGGAAAGCGAAAGGGAGGCCAGACGTTCTCAGCGTGTCCCTTTGGGCAGCGTCACCAGGAAGCGCCAACTTCCCACCCCAGGCACTACCGGCCCATTTCCCACAATGACGGGGAAGGGACTGGGCAACGGGGAGTGGACACAGGCGCAGTAAAGCTGGGGTGACGTAGGGAAGGTGCCTGTCAGTCTAACCTGGAACAGAATCCACAGCAAATACAGAACATGTGGGAATAGATGATCCCCAGACAAAGGAGCTAGCTCTTGTGTGGCTCTCTGCGTCTCTGGAGTTGCTCCTGCTTCCTTGCCTTAGCCCATGTTCCTAGAGGCCGCACAGCCCGTGGCCATTGTGAGAGTAAACAAGTAATCTTTTCTGTCAAAGAAGGGAATGTGGGCAGCCGCCATTCTGGCCCACGTGACTTGCAGCTCCCCTGGGGGCCGCCATTTTGAAATGCAAAGGTCAACCCCTCCCTTTCCCTTTAAATTAGCCAATTGTGCAAGACTGTGAGCCTCAGCTCTGACCAATCAAGAGTGAGGGGCAGATGACGTGCCCCTTTTGGACTGCCCACTTAGTGAGCATGCTCCCAGACCCTGTGTGCATGGGCACTCTCCTGCAAGAGTAAAGATATTTCCTTGCTGTCTGGCTCCCATGTATCCTTTGTGTTCTGCCAGGACCCCTGGTTTTGGGAATCACCTTATTTCTAACAATTTGGGGGGCTTGTCTGGGATTCCACTGGTCACTACAGAGGCCATTGCACCCTCTCTTGAGGAGGAGTGCCCCACTGCCACGCTGCAGTGGCCTCGGTGAGGAGGGACAGCCACTACCCCAATCCCCCTACTCCCATGGCTGACTGCAAGCTCGGGATGGAGAGTTAGCCAGCGATGTGGGAAGGTCTCAAACAAGCAGCACTGTGGCAACCAGGTAACCTCATGCATGAGCCAAGGTGGGAATTGGACTGAGTACTACTTTGGTGATTGGGTATCCTCTGAGGTCGGGTATATGTGACTGGGATGTGTCTTGGACATGAAGCAAGTGTGGGGTTCTGATCTGCAGTTCCATTCTACTGCAAGGGAAGCAGCCAGAGAGGGATGAAGTGGATCTCGAGGAGTGCAAGAAACCTCCAGTATAGGAGTTTAGGCACATAGCCACGAGGGAGTTTCCACACATGGGAAACAAAAATTCAACGCCTAGGAAATACATTCCCCCAGATAGTCTATTGGGAGTGTTATGGGTTCACTCAGCGAGATAGACCACCAACTCAGAATTTAAATTTAAGAGCCTTTATTAAGATGGCCAGCTGACTACAGTTACAGCACCCCTCCAAAGCAAAGGCTGAACTGCAGTGCTGACTGCAAGAGTTACAGCATTTTTATTTGCAAAAACCACAGAGTTAGTTACAAAGCCTTGTTTACATAATTAGTTCCCAACACAGTATAGCATCATACAGTGACTACCTTCCTATCTATGTGTTCTAGGAACAGAGAGTACAGAGTGCCGGGAAGGGGCCATGAGACCATATCTCAAGGCCTAGCCTGATGTCAGTGCCTTCCTATCTATGTGTTTTAGGAACAGACAGCACAGCATGACCCGTCTGGCCGAAGTGCCAGATATGCAGCCCGGCGCAGGAGGTTTCAGGGAGAGGACAGTCCCTGAACCAGGGGCAGGAGACATTGCTCTGCTTTAGTATTTGTTTTTTCATGGTGTGTGTGTGTGTGTGTGTGTGTGTGTGTGTGTGTGTGTGTTTATGCAGGGCATTCTGTGATGTCTATGGTTTGTGCGTGCCTATAAGAGTGTGTCTGTTAATGTTTCTCTTTATTGTTTGGTTTGAGTTGTTTAAAGATGGGGCATGTCCCGTTTTGGGGGAGCCCCGCTATTTGTGGTGAGGCTAAACACGTGGCAGGGATTGAGGGAATGTCCCAGCAGCTGCTGTGAATTCTTAATATTGGGGACTTTTCGTGCTTTCCCTCTCAGGGTGTCAGCACCTAAAACTTTTAGCTAGTAAGAGGGTTTTTTGTCTGTAATGTAAATTTGGTTACTGATTTACTTTGCCTGCTTTCTATATTTTGGGGACTTAGTTTGACATAGGGAAGTAAGGATTACAGGCATGGGGAAGTGGGCAGTGCAGGCTATGGTTGGACTCCATTGTTTGAGAAACAAGGTTAATGTTTCCATGATGGTGGGCAGTTCTTGAATGAGAATCCAAGGTTGACTCCCAGGTCCTAGAGGCATACAAGTTCCAGATTTTTGTCCCCAACACTGGGAGGAGCAGATTTGCTGAAGTGCTCTCCAGCAAGTTGCTGAAATAGCAGTGGGGGGAGCTATTTTTATAAAGAAAATATAAACTCCCATTTTTATAAAGAAAAGTAAAATAAAATAGTACATTCACATGAAAGCCACTAAAGGCAGATCAGATGTCCCTGTTACCAAATTGCCAATAAAATGCCCGGGATAATAATGATTATCTTTAAAATCTCAAAATTGTTGTAACTTAAAACTTTGAGTTTGCTGGGTTAAATGGTAAAAATTATTAAATATCAAGATATTTTGAAATAACAGGATACTAAAATATTAATCTGAGTTTGCTTCATATGGAGAAACTAGAGGATTGATCTGAATATGCTAATGATAAGTCTTGTATTTTATTTAAAACTAGGGACCTGGTGCACGAAATATGTGCACTCAGGGTGAGGGGAGGTCCCTCAGTCCAACCTGCACCCTCTCACAGTCTGGGAGCCCTAAGGGGATGTCCGACTGATGACTTTGGCCTGCTCAGTCTGACATCCTTACTGCTACCACGGAGGTAGGAGAGTCTCCCACCACAGCCGCTGCACTAGCCAGCTGTGAGTCTGGCTTCTGGTTGAGTGGCACTCCCCCTGTGGGAGTGCACTGACCACTAGGGGACAGCTCCTGCATTGAGTGTCTGCCCCATGGTGGTCAGTGAGCATCATAGCCACCAGTTTTTCTGCCATTTGGTCAATTTGCATATTATTATTATTATTATTATTATTATTATTATTATATAGGATATGTCTTAAAAATGTGAATGTATTGCTAATCTGAGGAAACATGTCGCCTAAATATTAAGGCTAAGGGCTAAGAATTTATGGTTTTGGTGTTATTTTGAATGGAAAAAAAGTGGGCTCTGAAAGTTGTAAGGTTTGTGAGGTTTGTGAGGAAAGGAAGCTATATAAATGGCACAGGCCACTAAGCCAGGACAAGTGGAATGGGGAAACTGAGATGGTTCAACAGCAATTTGGAGCTATCTAGTAAATCCCATCTTCCCGAAACCAATGTCCGTGTCCATTGGTTAGGCCTATATGCTTGTATATAAGTCCTTTGGTTGATCTTTCCCCCTTACCCTATCCTCCCCTACCTTTCCTCCAAGGCCCGAGAGTCCAATCAATGCCTCTCCATCTCTG